CAGGCTTGAGCCACCGCGCCCGGCCTTTTTTTGTATTTTTTAGTAGAGACAGGGTTTCACCATGTTAGCCAGGATGGTCTCGATCTCCTGACCTCATGATCTGCCTGCCTTGGCCTCCCAAAGTGCTGGGATTACAGGCGTGAGCCACCATGCTCCGCCAACACCCAGTTTTAAATGCTTGGAGTGATTCCTGCATTTAACAAACATCCTGAGATCAAAGGCTGACTGTGGCCGATGGTCCTTCTGTGCTTTCTCCCTCCAGCCAGTCTCCAGGCCACAACAAGTTTTGCTTGAAAATTTCTGTCATATGATTTCCTTCCTCTACATTTTCACTGACCCTCCCAAGCTGTGGATTGCATTAGATTACTTAACAGTCTCTGAATCATCCTATCATTTAGGCAACAGACATTTATGACGCATCAAGCCAGATGCCATGGGGATGCTAAGATGAGCGAGGAACCCCGACAGCTACAGTCAAAGCGGGAGGGGAAGGTAACAAAAGAAAAGACACATAAAGCGCAATGGAAATTCATAAGAGGGAGGTATGACTTCCCGAGAGAGGAAACTGTTTGTGCAGTACAAAGGACATTTGAACTGGATGGACGGGATTAGCTGGATACAGACAAGAACAAAGGCATTAATGGGTCAAAAACACTGGGGCTTAGATCTCCATTATGCCCCTTAACCCCCTGTGACTTAGAGCAATTGACTTCTGGGCTGCTGTGTAGCAGATTAACTATATATTTTGAACATGCGGAAAAATGAAGAATGAGATATAAATGATATAAAATGCAATTACATACATTAAAAGTATATCAAGCTGGGCACCGTGGCTCACGCCTGTAATCCCAGCACTTTGGGAGGTTGAGACAGGTAGGTCACCTGAGGTCAGGAGTTCAAGACCAGCCCGGCCAACATGGCAAAACTCTGTCTCTACTGAAAAAACAAAAATTAGGTGGCGTGGTGGCCCACTCCTGTAATCCCAGCTACTCAGGAGGCTGAGGCTGAAGAATTGCTTGAAACGGGAGGCGGAGGTTGCAGTGAGCTGAGATCACACCACTGCACTCTAGCCTGGGCGACAAGGGTAAGACTGTTTCAGGAAAAAAAAAAAGTATATCACACAGGAGGTGATATATGTTGCCAGGGGTCAGTAGCAAGGGGAGGTTGTGGCTATAAAGGGGCAACACAAGGGAATGTTTTGGGGTGAGGTTCTGCATCCTGACATCCTGGGGTGATGGTTATGCATGTGTTTTAATGGGTAAACCTGTACACCAAAAAAAAGAGGCAATTTTACTGCATATAAATGTTTTTGTTTGTTTGTTTGTTTGTTGAGGCAGTCTCGCTCTGTAGCCCAGGCTGGAGTACAATGGCACGATCTTGGCTCATTGCAACCTCTGCCTCCTGGGTTCAAGTGATTCTCCTGCCTCAGCCTCCCGAGTAACTGGGATTATAGGCATGTACCACCACGCCTGACTAATTTTTGTATTTTTAGTAGAGATGGGGTTTTGCCATGTTGGCCAGGCTGGTCTCAGAAAACTCCTGACCTCAGGTGATCCGCCTGCCTCAGCCTTCCAAGGTGCTGGGATTATAGGCATGAGCCACGGCACCCAGCTTACTGTACATCAATTTAGAAGGTATTTGCACAAAAACAAAATTTTTCATGAACATACATAAATAAAAAAGGAAAAAAAATTCATTAGAATAGTTGTCTTTGGCAGAGTGAGAATGGGGATGGAGAAAAAAGGAATAAAAAATAAGTCTGAGAGCAGAGCCTTGCAGCACAGCGCAACAGAGGCAATGTGTCAGGAACTGGGTGTGTAGGCCATCCCTGTGCCTGAGGTCTCTTCCCCCTGCCTTCTAAAAGGGAGAGGGAATGGCCTAGAGGAGGGTGAGGAAAGCAAAGGAGAAGAAAAGAATTAGTGAGGAAGTGATGAGGAGGCAGGAAGTACGGTAAGGAAGGGACAGACTGGAAAGTTATGGTGGTCCCAATTAGTGGTAAGTTCTATGAGCATGAGTACCACACTTACATTTTTACCATTACAGACATCAAGCCAGGTCTAGAGTCTGGCACAGTGTGGTGTCACATAAATTTTGGTGACTACATCAAGGCAATAACAGGATTTACAGCCTTGGTCACTGGCTGCTGGCGTGTGGGAACAGTGAGGGGACTGGAGCGCCGGGCGGATGGATGGCCCTTCGAGGAGGAGCAGATTTGGGGCAAGTGAAAGCAGCAAGTCCAGCCTGAGTTATAACAGGCTTGGGGTCCCTGTGGCAGCTCTGACTGAGATGAGTGACAGGCTGCTGGACGTACATGTCTGGAGCTGAAGAGGTACCTGTGTGAACAGATCCATCTGGGACTTTCCCAAACACACAACTGACAAGAAAAGATGTGGGAGCAGATGAGCTCCCAGGGCAGCAGGCAGGGTGCTGGGAAACAGACTCCCAAGGAGTAGGGAGAAGAGAAGCCTAAGAGAGACTCTGAGAAGTGGTCTGAGAAACAGGAACCCTGGGGTATCAAGGGGACATTTCAAGAAAAGTGTGGTCAATAGTGTCAAATGCTTAAGGAAAAAGTTTCTGCCAAATTTGGTAATGTGGGGCTCACTGGTACCTTCCCCTGAGAAGTAGAGCAATGAGAACACAGTCAGACTGCAGTGGGATTGGACAGAAAAGAGAGGGGAGAAGGCGGTCTGACACCAAGGGACAGATGTGTAAGGAACAGCCAGGCACAGTGGCTCATGCCTGTAATCCTAGCACTTTGGGAGGCCAAGGTGGGAGGATCACTTGAGGTCAGGAGTTCAAGACCAGCCTGGCTAACATAGTGAAACCCCATCTCTACTAAAAATACAAAAATTACCCAGGTGTGGTGGTGCTCCTGTAATCCCAGCTACTTGGTAGGCTGAAGTGGGAGAATGGCATGAACCTGGGAGGCAGAGGTTGCAGTGAGCAGAGATCACGCCACTGTACTCCAGGCTGGGTGACAGAGTGAGGCTCTATCACAAGAAAAAAAAAAAAAAAAAAAAAAATATATATATATATATGTGTGTGTGTGTGTGTGTGTGTGTGTGTGTGTAAGGAACAGCAAAGGAGGACCCAAGTCTAGGAATGTTCTTACAAGGTTAAGAGGAAAAGCCATCAAAGAGGACAGAAGAGATCACTGATGACTGATGGAACTGCTCCTGGACCAGGGTGTATAAGCTTAATATTAATGCAAAGCTTCCATTGTTTCTTTAGAAGTTAAAAGACCCTAAGAATTAGAGCAAGCCACAGGGTGAGCCACAGGGGCCTTCAGATAAGGAGGTCAGAGGCACAAGAAAGTGGTTACCAGAAGTCAGCCCCAAGTGGAGCAGGGCTGGTCGAGATAACATAATAGGGAGACTTACTTTTGGTTGTTTTCCATTCTGTAGTCTGAGTTTTGCGGTATGAACATGTATCTACATTATTACAAGATACATTTTTATAAAATTTGCAGAGATCATCATTGACCCTGACAAGACTCATTTCAGTATATAATATGGGAAAAGAAACCAGACTGCAACAGGCTGAGAATGACCCAGGGAAGAGAAAATGGAGAAATTAACTGCAGGTATCTTTTTCGAGAAGCCTGCCTTGCAGGGGATGAGAAAGATAGGATAACAGTCACTTGACAAGATGTGAGGTGTTGTTTTGTTCTGAAGAAAGCATTTTGAAATATTGATGAGAAAGTGGTAGTGGGAATTAGGTTAATGATGCAGATGGCAAAGGAGATAACTAAGGAGCCGGCACAAGGTCTGAGCAGGCAGGAGTGTGCAGTTTCAGAGCAGGAGAAGGGTATACCATCACCAGGTGATATGGTTATGCTTTGTGTCCCCACCCAAATCTCGTCTTGAATTGTAATCCCCATAATCCCTGTGTGTCAAGGGAGGAGCCAGGTAGAAGTAACTGAATCACGGGTGCGGTTTCCCCCATGCTGTTCTCATGATAGTGAGTGAGCTCTCACGAGATCTGATGGTTTTATAAGGGGGTCTTCCCACTTCACTCAGCACTTCTCCTTCCTGCCACCTTGTGAAGAAGGTGCCTTGCTTTCCCTTTGCCTTCCACCATAACTGTTAAGTTTCCTGAGTCCTCCCCAGCCATGCTGAACTGTGAGTCAATTAAACCTCTTTCCTTTTTAAATTACTCAGTCTTGGGCAGTTCTTTATAGCAGCATGAAAATGGACCAGGAATGTCTCATACCAGAGAGAGATACATACCCCTTTCTCCTTTCCATACCCAGCCCTGGGGCATGGGGGAAGCTGGTCCAGGATGGGCCTGAGTAGTTGAAGCCAAACACAAAATCCCTGCTCCTCAGACACACTATGGTCCAGGACCTGATTCTGGCCAATAAGACCGAAGGTGGCATTTGATGGGGCTTCAAAAAAAGGCTCCCACTCCCCTGAAGGAGTGGCCGGAAGCCACTTCTTCGTGCTGATGAAAGGGAATGCGAACATGTGTGGCCCCAACTGCGACTGCAGCCATCCTGCTACCACATGGGCACCTGCCCTAGGATGTAACCAACAGCTGGATGGAGAGCAGAGAGGTGAAAAGCTCCTGGATCCTTGAGGAGGTCACTGAGCCGCAGGATTGACCAGCCCTGAAGCCTGCCCTTCACCTGGACTTCCAGGAAAAAGGCACATTAACTCAGGCTTTCTGGTGTTCACAACCTGGAACTCTCACTGACAAGCATCCCTTGCACTGTGACATGAGGAATAGGACTAATGGAGAGGCAGGAATAGAAGGAGATGATGTCAGATGGAATGTTTACATTTTCCTCTGTAAAATGAAAAGGGATCCTGATGCTAAGAGTGAGGGGACCTTCGAGGAGGACAGAGCTTAGGGAGAGGGATGAAACCTGGAGCTGGGGGTTCAGGGCACTGGCAAGGAGCTGCTTAGAGTGACAGGGGTCCTGGTGGGTGGTGCTGAGCACCAGATAAGGACGCTGAGACATCTGCCAGCTGCAAACAGCACAAGGCTGTGCTACTCACCAAGGACCCCCCTCTTGTGGGGACAGCCTCTGTGTTTGCCGTGTGGATGGACAGGACAAGTGGGAAAAGCATAGTGGGCATCAGCACAGCAGTGGTTGAAGTGATGAACCCCAAGGTCTAGGCTCCACTTGGAAGGGAGTGAACAGAGGAAGGGGCTGATGGATGAAACAAAAGGAAAAAACAAAGGGATGAGGAGCTAGACATCTCCATGCATCAAAGAACTGGAAGTGAGAGCACCAAGGAGACCATGCAGAGAAAGTGTTTCCAGAATAACACAAAGCAGGGATCTGGGCCCAGCAACCTCCATGCCCCACTACTAGCCAGAGCTAGGAGTGTTGTTTCAGGATTAGCTGCAGTGGGTAAGTTTGAATGAAGCCAGACAGACACAGATAAGAACTCAGAGGGGCCTAGTTCTTCCTGTGTCACTCAGAACCACGTGCACATCAGTAGACTGGAGGGGAAGTGTTCTCAAGTTTGTGCTGATGTTTCTGAAAGGGAATGGAGACCCTGCAAAGGAGAAATGAAGGACACAGTAAGAAAAGCATTCCTTAAACTGGTCTTTGTAAAGAACTCACCTCTGTATTCATCTTGGTCTCTTCCTTCGGTCACTGTAAAGACAAAAGCAGAGGTTCAGGTCCCTGGTGGCACCTGCCCAAACTCCATGCAAACACTCCCCTTTGCCACCCCACGCTCCCCCACTGCTTCCTGTCCCATCGGTCTCATCTTCCCCAAATGCCTTCACCACCTGTGCCTTCCAGCAAGGATATCCAGGCCAGTGTCTATTCTGGCCTGGTGACAGCTGACTTCCCTGGGATGTCATACCAGCAATGCTTCCTTAGAGAAGGGCATTTCCAAGCCCAGGTCCATCTCCTACATTGGAAGAGCAGCTGCAATTGGGATGCCTCCATGGGAAGGATGCACTTCCCAAAACTGGTGCTTGAAGAGGACAGCTTTTTATCTGGCTTTTTAAATGGGGACAAGCAAGGCAATAAGAAATATACACTTTTCTTTTCTTCTTAGCTGAGTTTCCAGAGGACTGCAATTAAATATGTTCAAAGAATAGTTCAAGAAGCCACTCCGGACCCTCAGCATTAAGACAAAGGAAGGAGGGGGCAAACAGCTGAGCAGGAAGGAGGGGTGACAAGAGGAGATGAGGGGAGACCACAGAGTAAAGGAAAAGAAAGACAGCAACAGCATGGCTTAATAAGGGTCCTCAACTTTAATGTACCCCTAGGATTCTTGTTGAAAATGTGTATTTCTGGGTTTCACTCTCAGATTCTGATTTGGAAGGCCAAGAGTGGAGGGGAGGCCACGAATCAGCATTTTCACCAAGCTCCAGGTAAATGCACACAGACGGTCAGGAGCCATACCTGGAGAAACACTGGAATGTCAGTAGAACAGAGGCCTGTAAAAATTAACTTTTTCCCTCACTTGTTAGAGCCACTAGAATTGCCACTGTATTTTTAACTAAAACTGGGCAGGCAAGGGCAGGCAAATGGATAACCAGAGGTGATGAAAAATGCACTACAGATGCCTCTCCAGCCCCTCCACCTGCATAGGCAGTCCAGGAAGCCAATGCCGATGACCACTTCTAGCTTGCAGAGGGCCTCTGGAAAGGGAAGACTGTGGCAACCCCTGCCCTTGGACCCAGCACAGCATTTGATCTTATTCTCTTTGGTTAAGCACAGGGATGAAAACCATGAATGACAGTGAAATAACCACCCCTATTCCAAAACAAACAAAACCAAACCTTGGCAACCTTAAGATTACCCGGGGAAGGGTGCATAGGTGATCGTGTGGGCTTTGTGTGGAAAATAGCCTGCTTTTGGGGCTGGACACTGTGGCTTACACTTGTAATCCCAGCACTTTGGGAGGACGAGGAAGGCAGATCACCTGAGGTCAGGAGTTCCAGGCCAGCCTGGCCAACATGGTGAAACCTTGTCTCTACTAAAAATACAAAAACTTAGCCAGGCGTGATGGCGTATGCCTGTAATCCCAACTACTTGGGAGGCTGAGGCAGAAGAATTGCTTGAACTCGGGAGGCGGAGGCTGCAGTGAGCCAAGATCGAGCCACTGCACTCCCAGCCTGGGCAACAGAGTGAGACTCTGTCTCAAAGAAAAAAAAAAAAAAGAAAATAGCCTGCTTTCGGCAACTCCCCTCCCTTCTCTCTTACCATTGCTCCTTCCTGCTTTGAGAGCGGGTCTCATGACCCAACCTGGCCAGCACACATGATGCCTTTCCTTTTGCAGTATGGAGCCTTTTCACATCTCCTGAAGCAAATCTGAAAAAGGGAACCTACTAGAAGAAAAACTCCAAAAAGCAGAATGTGACAAAGAAAGTGGACTTTCTTCTCAGATCCTGGGGAGGCAATGTAGGTGTGATGTCTCTTTATGCATAAAATATCTCAGAAAGGCCAGGCACAGTAGCTCACGCCTGTAATCCCAGCACTGTGGGAGGCTGAGGTGGGAGGATCACTTGAGCCCAGGAGTCCAAGACCAGCTTGGGCAACATAGCGAGACCCTGTCTTTACTTAAAAAATTAGCCAGGCATCATGGCATACGCCTATAGTCCTAGCTACTTGGGAGGCTGAGGCAGGAGGATTGCTTGAGCCCAGGAATTTGAGGCTGCAGTGAGCTATGATCATGCCACTGCACTCTAGCCTAAAGTGATAGTGACATGAGTCACTGACATGTCACATGTCATCACCTCTGTCACTCACAGGATGACAGAGACCCTATCTCTTTTTTTCCCCCCAAACTACTTTGTACCCAGATGAGAGACCCTGTCTCATTAAAAACATATATATATATATCTCAGAAGGATAACTAAGACACTGAGAGCTGACCCACAGGCGGTGGGTGGGGTGGGAGCACCAGCACTAAGTGGCGGATGCGTGAAGACACAGCAGCAGAGGGTCCCCAGCAAGCACACTCTGCTTGTCCTCCCCTGCTACCTGGAGGCCCCACAGAGATGCCCTTCCCACCTGGAGGCCCCACAGAGATGCCCTCCCCAACACCCTGCTGTGCTTTACTTCTGTTTTTAAGAACTTTCGTTCAAGTCTCCCTTGGAGCTTACACATGAGTGACAGAGTCACATAACAGAACACCCAAATGTGAGGAGGATGAGAACAGATGTGAACCTCTCTGGGTCAGCTAGTTCATACACATTAACCCTAATCCTCAGAACCCTGGCAAACAACAACAACAACAACAACAAAAACACAAACTAGTATTAATTCCATTTTACAGATGAAGTGCCTGGAGTTCAGGGAGGGTAAAGCACCCTGCCTCACAGCCAAGGCACTACAGCACTGCCCTGCAGTTTCCAGACTTCCTGGTTCTAGACTCAAACCCCAGGCTCTGCCAGAGGCCTTGACAGGTCCTGTCTTACATTCACCCAGAGAGCTTCCGTGCTAAACAGGAGACCTGGTGTCCGGTCCTGTCAGTCCTGAACTACCCAAGCAACTATGACAGTCAAACAGGTCACAGGCTGTAGGCTGAATGGCTGGACTTCATCTCTAAGGTCTGCTCCAGCTCTAAATTGCTCTATGGTTTCCAGACAAGGAAATTCAGGTAACTCTTATAACAGACAGAATGATACCCTCAGTCATGATCACAGAATGTAAATTATGATTATAGCAAGAAGGCCTAGCTGACTGACAGATCAAAATGTTTGCCAGAGTGTGGTGGTTAAAGTGTGGTCAGGAATACACTCTGACATTATTGGGGGACTAACAGTGGGTAGCATCTCTGTGGAAGGCAGTATAGCAATAACTCTTAAAATTCCAATCTGACCTAGCAATTCTACTGCTTCCTATTTCTGTCTCCAGCCCCCAAACTACATTCAGAAGAAACTGCCCTGAGTCTTTTGACCTTGAAGAAATCTCACTACTACTTGCTTTTTCTTTTTTTTTTTGTAATAAACATATGTATTTATAACTAATTTAACTTTTCCAAATTCTCATTTGCAAATGAGATTTATATAGTTAAAACTGAATATACAAACCAACATATTAGGAGGATCAAAATTTACACTACTCAAACGTGACTCCTTAAGACTGACTTTAACATGTTCTTTCAACTTTATTCAAATCAGATGTCCCCCCTCCAGCATATATCATTTTAAAAAATGAATTTAATGCTATCAAAAGGTGATGTTCACTTTAATCCTGTTTGCCTTCACACCACTGTCGTGAGTCTTCATTCCAGGCCACGTACATAAAGAGGGCCAGCACCACATGGCCGCCGACCACTGCAACACTAGCAGCATAAAAATATCTGTCCCTATTGAACATCCCAAGGGTGCCTTCAAATATGTAAGATTTAGTTGTGAAATATAACCCAATAGGAATGGTGATCATTAAAGCTGTGAAGAACAGGAGTGTCTTCAGTGTAGATGCTAATGAGCTTTCTTTTCTGAACTTAGGAGGCTGCAGTGCGTTCAGTGCCGCTTTATCCGGGCGCTCCACGGTGTAACTGTGCTGGCACAGGCACTCGGTGGCAGGCTACTTGCTTTTCCTTTCTAATGAGATCTTAAAGGAAAACTTTCCTATAAAAGTGGTCTACAAAACATTACTTATGAACTTTATTGTTTTCCTACATAATCTGGGGAATGCAAAACAAAAGAAAATAAACAAATGAAAGGATGTGGACAGATGCATATGCATGAGAAAGAAGCCTACCTGGAACTCGTACACTGGGCATCAGGGGTGTACCAGCTAGAATAAATGGCATTGCTGTTTATTTGTTTATTTTTCAGAGTCAGAGTTTCGTTCTTTAACCCAGACTGGAAAGAAGTGGCAGGCATGATCACAGCTCACTGCAACCTCAAACTCCCGGGTTCAACTGAACTTCCTGCCTCAGCCTCCCAAAGTTCTGAGACTGCAGGCATGAGCCACTGCACCTGGCCACACTGCTGTTTTTAAAGCACATTCAGCTGGGGTACCCCAGCTCGTTGCTCACAGAGCTTTGAGTGACTGGCAGGACTTGCCATGGTCACATAACTGTAAAGGCCAGACAGATCCTTTCTGTGCTGTTTCCCCTTCTGCTTTCAACTCCCCCTTATAATAAGATGCACTGTCAGGAGAGGCAGCAATCCCAGGCCAAGCGAGATCTGGCTCCACCTTCCAACTCTCTGCCTGCCCATCACACAGCTCCCTCTCCTTTCCTCCCCATCATTTGGCCAGGACTAGTTAAACACTGAACAGAATCCAGGAGGAACTTTATTCTGTATTTTAATATATCTTAAAATATCTAAGACCTAATCCTGTAACAAAAAGGTTTTGGTTTGTTTAGTTTTTCTTTTTTATTTAAATGTCAAAGGTTTAGTATTTAAATGGTCAAACATTTAGTATTTAAATGGTCAAACAGAAACATTCTGTTTTCTAAGTTTTAGTATTATGCTGAGAAATATTTTCCCAAAAGACTTATATTAAATAGATATATTTTTATTTTCTTATAGATTTTTAACTTTTTTTTTTTTCTTGAGACAGTTTCACTCTTGTCACCCAAGCTGGAGTGCAATGGTGCGATCTCGGCTCACTGCAACCTGTGCCTCCCAGGTTCAAGCCATTCTCCCATCTCAGCCTCCTGAGTAGCTGGGATTACAGGCGCCCGCCACCACACCACCACGCTAATTTTTATATTTTTAGTAGAAACGGGGTTCCACCATGTTGGCCAGGCTGGTCTGGAACTCCTGACCTCAGGTAACCCACCCACCTGGGCCTCCCAAAAAGGTGGGATTACAGGCATAAGCCACCACGCCTGGTCTTAACTTTTCTTTATTTACATTTTTATTTTTTAATCAAATCTAAACAGTATTTTGGTATATGGCAAGAGATAAGGCTGTAAATTTACATTTCTCCAAATAGTTGTTCCTACGTTATTTATTGAATATTTAATCCTTTCCCCCAGTGACTCCACACTTAAATTTTTATGAATACAGTTATTCTTTTTTTCATTTTTTCTGCTGTGCCACAGACCTCTATTCCCATGGTTATAACATACTGTTTACGTGATTGTGGCTTTACAGTGTTTCAATACCTGGTAATTCAAGTTCTCTCATTAATCTTGTTCAGTATTATTATATATTCTTACTTGCCTAGGCCGCCATATTAATTTTAGAACATCTTACCAAGTTAAAAAATTCCACTGGGACTGTGACTATGATTGCACCAAATTTATACATTAAATTAGGGTGAATTAATAAGCCTTCCCATCCAGAAACATGGAATGCCTTTCTAAGAGCAGCCACTTTAAAAATAAATAAATAGGCCAGGTGTGGAGGCTCATGCCTGTAATCCCAGCACTTTGGGAGGCCGAGGCGGGCGGATCACTTGAGGCCAGGAGTTCAAGATGAGCCTGGCCAACATGGTGAAACCCTGTCTCTACTAAAATTACAAAAATTAGCAGGGTGTGGTGAACGAGCCTGTAATACCAGCAATTTGGGAGGCTGAGACATGAGAATTGCTTGAACCCGGGACACAGAGGTTGCAGTGAGCCGTGTTCACGCCACTGCATTCCAGCTTGGATGACAGAGCAAGACTCTGTCTCTAAATAAACAAATAATTTAAAAAGAAGAATCTTGAGTTAGTTCCTGAATTATTGCATAATGACAAATAACAGCTCAGGCTGTAGTGGCTCACTAGGAAGTTGAAAGAAAAAAGTCAACACCTTTGCAGAAACAACTTGCTTGAAGCAATTTAAAGCAGGTTCTCCTCCCCCCATATCTACTGCAGCCGGTCTGCAAAACAGTCTTGGTGTTTGAGCCTTTATTTGCTTTGACTCCAAAACACAATGGGCTCAGGTGCACAGAGATGAACTGTCTCTCTAGGGGATGAAGAGCCAGCCTGTGACCCCAGAGAACAGAGTTCTAGACCTGGCTTGGCACCCGGTGATCAAGAGCAGGGCACGGGGTCCCTTGTACCTTAGTTTCTGTACCTTGAAATAGAAGAGGGGGCAGATGAATTTAGATGACCCTTATGTTCTCTTTCTGTGCTAACATGGTATCACTGTAACCCACTTTACTTCTTTTTTTTTTGCGGGGGTTGGGGGGTTCTCTTTCGGTTTAACTTTCTTGGTGTCTGGCTTGGTTAACTGAAGGTTTTTAGCTTCTCTTCTGGCTCCACAAGCAAACTAGGTTGAGGCTCAGGTTGCAGCCATTAAGGCCCCAGACACAAAAGTGCTGTACAGATAGGGCTTCTCCTTGGCACTCTGCCAAAGAGAAGCCACTCTCTTCCCTGCCCCACTTTTTCGCCAAAGAGAAGCCACTCTCTTCCCTGCCCCACTTTTTCAGCCCCCATCTGCTCTATGTCCCTTCTGTTCCTCCTCCTCACCACTTCAAAAGCTTCTACCTTTTACTGAAAGTGATCTTAATATAACAGGAAAGAAATGAGATGAGGTCAATGACTTTCATTAAGCCTGGTATATCTGAACTTGGAAGGGCATAATCATGTTTGAAAAGAGCTGCTTATTAACTCAAATAATTGTAGAACAATGTGCAACTCGATTTCAAAATAGGGGTGAGAGCAGAACTTTCTGGAGTTTTCAAAAACCATACAGGTTTTTGGGCACTGACCCCCGCCAGGAGGTCCAGGTCATAACTATGTTCCCTTACTGTTGAAAGATGAGTTCTGCCCAGCCAAGTGCAACAGGAACTGCCTAGACAGGCACAACTCACAAGTGCGGGGGTGGGAGAGGGGTGGGCAGGGGAAGGAATAAAAATCTTCCACACAGCCAAAACGTGTGGGTCTAACTTTTGTTTCTAACATTTTAAAAGCTCAATAATTATGCTTTCAAAGATCTCTAGAGAGAACATCTTTCTTCAACAGATCAAGATTTTTTACAAGCAAGATTTCACAATGTGTTATCTGCATCCTCAATATTAATTACATAAATAATTTTATTCTCTACACCAACTGTATCATGTTCTTTCACTGTTTTGTTTTCCCTTAGATTTTTTAAGGTGCTCCAAGTTCTCAGATTTCAGGTGAGGAACTTCAAGGTCTTTTCAAAGTCTGAGGTTTTCTGAGTTTATCAAAGAGAAATAGCTAAGTTACAAGAAAAATCATTACGTATAAGTGTGAGTTATATAAAATATTCAACTATTCACTCAGACATCAGCAAATATTCGTTTTAGCACAACAAACAGCACACGAGTTGAAATAGGGTGGACAGAAAAAAACCTAAAGAAATCCTGTAGCACCTAAAAATGAGAATGACACGACATCACAGCATGAAACAGAGCCAGGGGTCAAAAGCAGCAGTGGCCCATGGGTGTGCAGTATGTGCTTTGTTTTTCAAAAACATTTTTTGCCTATTTCCTTTTATTCCCATAATATCCCTAAGAAGTAGAGCTCCGCCAACCTTCATTCTGCAGAGGCAGAAAGACATTGGATCCCTTGCTCATGGTGATCCCCAGTGGCCCCTCCAATGGCCTCATCAGGCAGGCTGACTGTACTCTTAGCGTCCACCTGGGTTTAGCCAGTGGAGGAGATCGGCAGGCAAGGAACAGAGAGAGGCTGGGGGTACTTGTGCTCCCTCTGCCCAGTCCCCAGGCTGCTGCTCTGGCAGTGGCTGCATTCTGTGATGGCCACAGCAGCTCTGGACGGGGGTGGCTCCTCCAGCAGTACTCCAGCCCTCTCCTCCCAGCTCTGGTCTCCTCCCTACCCCTTCAAACCAGAGTGGGGGTGCCCACTGAAGCTCTTTCCTGTGTGCCTCACCATCACTTGGTTCCTCCAATCCTGCCCACTCTTCTTTAAAAATTCTCCTTAAAATTCCTTTCATTTTTATGTTTTTCACTGTTGGGATCTCAACTGATAAACCTGGTGGTATATCAGTTTGCAGCATCCCTGGCCTTTCCCCACTAGATGCCAGTGGCATATACACTTTTCCCCCCAGCACGTCAATCAGAAATGTCAGTAAGAACTACTGGGTTAAGGGCTGGGTGCGGTGGCTTATGCCTGTAATCCCAGCACTTTGGGAGGCTGTGGCGGGCACGGTACGGATCACAAGGTTAAGAGATCCAGACCATCCTGGACAACGTGGTGAAACCCTATCTCTACTAAAAATACAAAAATTACCTGGACATGGTGGCACGCACCAGTAGTCCCAGCTATTCAGGAGGCTGAGGCAGGAGAATCGCTTGAACCCAGGAGGCAGAGGTTGCAATGAGCTGAGATCGTCCCACTGCACTCCAGCCTGGGTGACAGAGCAAGACTCCATCTCAAAAAAAGAAAAGAAAACAAAACAAAAAAACCCAAAAAACAACTACTGGGTTAATGGAAATCACTAAATTATTGCTGACAAAGCTCTAGAGTTTCACATTCCAATTTGCACGTGGGAGAGATGCAAAACCTCACAGTAAATTAATAGCACAGCCAGGACTAAACGGCTTCCTTGGCTTACATTATGTTTCCCTTTTGATTTCAGTCTCTCTCCCACATGCAAATTGGAATCTGAAACTCTAGAGCTTTGTCAGCAATAAATTACTGATTTTCATTAACCCACTAGTTCTCACTGACATTTCTGATTGTTGTACTCGGGGGAAAAGGGTATGTGCCATTGGCAACTAGTAGGGAAAGGCCACGGATGCTTCAAAACATCCTGTGATGCACAGGACACCTTCCTATCCCCACTACACACACACAACAAAGAGTTATCCAGTCCAAAATGTCAACAATGCCAGAGTTGAAAAAGCCTGGATTACTCATCATGCAGAATGAACTACAGCTGTGACCTTCCTCCTCGTTCCAGAAGTATGGGGAAGGATAAGGGAGAGGGTGACCCTCTCAGGTGGGGCCAGCTGCCAGCCTCAGAGGTCTAAGGGTAAAGGTAAAAGCAACTCTTGCCCTGGAGGGAGTTGGATACTTTGGAATCTATCGAGAAAAATATAATAGCTACATGGGACACAAGTCTGGAAATATAGACATCAAAATATTAACAGTAATTACATCTCTGAGTGGTGAAACTTTTAGTGACTACTTTCTTTTTGCT